TAATATCAAGTTATATCTCTCCTACACATTATCACGTGTGCTGTCAACTAACATGCTAATACGGTGACCATGTATTATTATTTGTTAATATAATTCCGAGGATATTTCCTCGCATGCATGTGAGGAATTAAAGATACTTCCATCACGGAAGTGTTAGATTCCCCTTTTCGATCTATCATTTGCGTTCATACCGTGACGGTACTATGCATTTTATACTTAAAAATATATCCGTTCGTTACTAATATTTCCGTAAACGTACGCAATACTATTATAATAAATAAATAATATCTAACTACACAAATATACATGTTAACGGCGAGAATTTTTAATTAAAATTGGAAAAGTCCGTTTTGAGCTTAATAGATGGTGTCGAGATTTTTATCTGCGGTTTCACAAGATCGACTGCCCGAGCATGCCTTTGTGCTTGTTGATGAGAGCTGCGTACAGCGTTTTCTAATTTAGTCTTCAGTTCAGTAGACTGTGACATTAGTGTCTTAAATTCCTGAAACACAAATGAAATATTTAAGTAGCTTCGATCTAATCATTATGAAAATTAAAAATAAAGTACCTGAGGATATTTTGGTCCTATTTTATTAAGCCATTGGAAACTCTGCTGATGAAGACTTAATTGATACTTAGAAGCATGTTGTAGTTCATCTCCCTCCAATAAATAATTAATTAGGATTGGCACAAGTAAAGTTAACATTTGTATTCCTAATAACAGAAAATTATTATTTATACACTGGTATTCAAATTAATAGAATAAATGAAACACCATTTGTCACGCATAAACGACAATATTGCGGTTATTTACACACCTTGCAAAAGGTCTCCTGAATAGCATGTAACATACTTTTCATCAGGACACCAGTAATAATGAGATATAAGTGACAGAAATGAATACGTACGATGTGAGATATCAGCGAGTCCAATAAGAGTCTCAACGGTACTAACGCACTCTAATGTGAAAGACAATTCTGAATCAGTTGAAATCTGTTTGCTCTTGTCGCTATACAGATATTCTACTAGTCTCGGTGCTAACGCATGAATGTACGGTATACTTATTGCACGTTCCGGATGCAAAAATATCGTCCTCAGTGTTTGAACGCATTTTAATTTTACCTAAAATATACGTAAATATGTAAGTATGACGTATTTAGTCAACATTTATTAAATAATTAATGTAACTTATTATACTTACTGTTATATTTTCTGATTGGAAAGCCTGCCTATAGTGATTTATACATGGAAATTGTAAATTCGGTGCACTCACAACATCGGACGATGCATGAAGAACAAATACCGCAATACCTAACATCATCGCTACTTCGTCCATTTTAGTCTCATCAGTCCCTGTAAATATATTTTTCAATTTCATTTTCACGATTAAAATCCTTACAACATTTGAATCGTAAATACCTGTTTTAGCAAGATCGATGATTTTAGCAAGAGCGCTCTGTAAAAAACTTGTCCATTGCTCCTGACTTCTATGATCTTTTGCATATTTATTTGTAATTAAACTTTTTATACAATGCAAAGCGGCATGCACCGGTGCATCTGATGGTGGCTTATTGCATTCGATGTCGATACGCACTGCAGTTTCTCGAATTACTCCAGTTGCTAGATATAATAATGTCGGCAATATTGCTAGAGCTCCTAAAAGATAAATGATTTATTAGAAAATATAATATTCAGTTTAACAGAAAAATAAATAGTTACCGTGAGGAGAACAAATGTTAGGGAGAGATTCCATTATATTTAGCGTAGCAGTTATGAGTTTCCCGCTTTCTTCAGACGGCATATACCCTTTCTGGGATAAAATTGCTGTTGTTCCACCGGGATTAGGGTTCAATGCCGGTATTTGCCTTACCAAAAGGCACAAGCACACTTCTAAAATAGCAAACACTAAAGATTTTCCTGGTGTCAGTTCACCATTCTCCTCGCCTTCTCCTAACAGATCTACGTCTTGAATTTCATTGTTTTCTTCGTGCGCTGGTGCCATTTCTGTTAGAAAATCATATAAAAGTTTGTACACTCATTTTATGAAATACATGATTTAAATCCATTTCCTTACCTTTTAGTTTAGTCTTTTTTCTATCCGTCAAATCTTCCTGCGCTGCCTTCATTACTTGTTTCAAAACTTCCATTACTATCATTTGGATCATAAAACTTTCTCTCGTTAAAAGCATCCTACAATAGAGTATGTATGTTGAATATAAGTAACGTGTATTATATATTAATTCGTCACGTACCTGTGAAGAACGTTGCATAATTCAATCGGTAATGAACGATCTGCGATCAGAACTTTGCGAGCCCAGGTTGAATCTAATAAAGTATACAAAGCATGCAAACACGTTTCTATGTTTTGCATAGATTCTGAAGCACGGGGACTGCACAAAGCTTCCATACAAATACCTATAACAATAATTTTATATCAGACAAGATATGCTACCATAAGGGAAATGTAATGCAGAAATGATATTTACCGAATAGTAGATGAAAACGTTCAACGTTCGCATTAGTCTTGGTAGAGACATCGTCGTTATTGTTATTATTATTATTATTATTGTTATTATTCATTACATTCGATGTTTTCATTTCATTTTTAGTTTCTTCTAGACCAAACCCTTTCGCGTTAAGCCAAAGTGTCGCAGCGTGCAAGATTGGTGCCCACGATTCTGCATAATGAGGTCGAGCAGATTCCATCGTATCGGTTGTGTAAAAAGCTCCTCCATCGTGCGGTAGCTGACTGGAAAATTCTAACAGGACATTCACTTATTATTATAAATAGTTCGTACAATTTGAAAAATGATCTAAGAATAATTAGTGCACCTGGAGGTAACGAAAGTAACGCATGATCTCTTAAGGCTGCCAACCAATATTGACTTAAACTCAGTAACTCCGGTTGCACTAAGCTCAATAAGCTTTCGGTCTGGAATTCGAATTTGCCAAAATCTTCAGAGTTATCGTCATCGGTTTGGTTCGAATTTTGATTGAACGTGTCCTTGCTGTTCAAGGCAGAACCATCTTTTATCATAGCAACCACGTACACCTAACGAAAACAAGAAACAAATAAGCGAATGTGGATAAAAAATTATTATTCATATTGTTTGCTTCTTACTTCTGCCCAGGCCTTCAAAATCGCTAATCTTTCGAGCGTTAACAAGCTCTCGTTATAAAGTTGCGGTCGCGTATGTCCCTCTCTTAATTTCTCCAAAGAAGACACAAGGAGCTGATGTACTCTACGGAGATCGTTCAAATCTCTAGCGACTCCGCTTCCGATCCAAGCACTGCATGCCTCGCACGCTGCAGCTGTAACGTGCGACGCTGTTTCTGCCGAAAACGCAGGCCTCAAGGCAGCTCCGACCTAAACAAAATAAAATATTCTCATCTTAAGAAGGGCTATACCTTACAAATATTTTTATAAATTGATTACATACTTGTGCTTGGAATTGTTCAAGTAATAAATGACCAGGAAATTCTGGCTCAGGAACTTTAGCAAATTTGTCTATGATTTCTTGTAAGGTCTTCAGTCCTTCGAGTCGCAATGGATCGCAGTCACTTGTTGCAGCCATAAATGCCATTCGCACTAAATCGGAAAGATGCAGTACCAAGAAATCATCTGTAATTGAATAATATTAGTATACGATATACCATTAAGGAGCATTCGATTGAAAAGTTCATACTTTTTCCTTTTGATACTTGGAGCTCCTTAGCTAAGGCAAGATCAAAGTGTGCTTGCTTGTTGTTCACGCAAGCGGCAACTATTTTTCTAACGCATTGTGCTGCGAAAACTCTAGTTGGCCATCGCGGGGTGATAGTAAGTCGTTGTTTCGTAGATTCATCGGCGTGGAACTCGACTTGATCATCATCGCCTTCCGTATCCGCATTATCATTATCTGCAGTACTGTCTTCAACGTTTATAGCATTTCCATCTTCATTATTTGTTTCTATGCGAAATATATCTACGTTATTTCAATTGATAATAATGTAAGTTTTTAGTATACCGTTTAATGCGTTATACTGCAATACCTGAAGCTATTGTAAGAACGTCCTTGCATAAAGAAAGCCACTGCGATAAATTGTCAGCTGCTAAGATTTGCAGCATACTGGTTAATGTGTCGTGAATATCTTTAATTAATTTGCTATCAGTTTCTGTGTCCAACATGCTGAACAGGACACCCGGAAGACCAGTTTCTGTTATGACGAGACCTTCTACTACATTAGTATCGCGACTTTCGTTGGCCAGTGTCATTGCATGCTCGCACACTTCCTTCGCTTCTCTTTGGGCAAGTTGTCGAAGACAGGATATCGCAGCTTTACGCAGGAGAAGATGATTACTGGATAGAGTTCGCTGTAAGAAGGAGAAACATGGTTTAATATATAAACAAGTATTTATACTTACTGCAATGTAAATCTTACGCATAATGTAGGAACAAGGGAGGACAAATTGACGTGTCTCGGTGCAAATAAATGCAACTGTTGAAGACACCCCGTAGCTTCTGCCTGCACGAGCGGATCCTGATGGTCTTGCATAATCGCGCAAGCACAAAGAAACGATGAACGTGCCATACAAATAGACGACGTGTTTCCTATGGGTACAAACCATAAATATCAATCGCGTCTTCGAAAACTTCATTAAAATTAAAATAAGGATGACGGACCTTGTAGTTCTGGACCTATCGTTGTAATCAGAGCTGATAACACTTTGCCTATGCATTGATGAACATCGATGTATGAATGAGGAACATTAAGAAGAAGAGTTAACGCTAAGGACAATGAAGGTTCAACATAGCCTCGGAACATCGGTCCGCCGGAATCAGCTATAAGCGCGAGAGCATGTAATGCCCATACCTAAATAGAAATACAAACACATGTTCTTTATTCACATCTGGTGACAGATTTACATCCGTAAGGAATACTTCTTTTATGTGACTCACTTGTACTACAGGAGAAGAATTATCTTGTGCGAGTGCAAGTAAAATGCTAACACTCGTGTTGAGATGTTGACTAGATCCCATTCCACCCACGTATTTGTGAAGGCAGCCCAACGCTAGAGAATGACCGGTCCTACTAGCTACATCGCGAGCAGATTTTAAACGATCGAAACTTGTTTGTGCTAATTCTGCCGTGAATTTGGGATCGGAAATCACTTGAGCCATTCTTCCAACAGCTTCTCCCGCTGCCCACCTCAGTATCGAGTTACTACTTACTAACGCACTCTGCAATATTAGTCAATAAGAATCAAGGATTATATTGTTCTAAGAATGATAATAACATTCTTACAATAATGAGATTAGTTGCAGATTTTTTGACATCTTCTTGACCAAATCCAGTTTTCGCTTCGTTAAGACCCTTCAATCCGCTTAGCACAGCCGTGAAAACGTTCATCTGTATTGCCTCTTGCCTGCCTGATTTCGTATGCTTTATGCATTCACCGAAGTGATCTAACATCTGCAACCTATGCTTGTTCGCCACACGTGGGAAAATTTGACCAAACAATGATACAGAAAGATCGATAACAGCAACTCCTAGCGGCAAAGGGCCAGGAATTATTTCATCCTAAAAAATAAAATCTAGTGTTTAGAATAATTACGATTTGGGTTTTTACGGGCTTTTAATAATCTGTAAACTATGTACTTGTGGTACTGGTCTGTAAAGGCAACAGGGATTATGTTCCAAAGCTCCAGATCCTGCAGCACTGTTTGGTTGTAGCTGAAACAAATGTAATACAAATTTATTATTCAGATTTCTTCCTATACTGCAAATTATATAAACAATACAAAATAAGACAAAAACTGTAGCGTGTTCCTAATGTACTAAAATATATAAAACAATATAGTGAACCTAGGGATGTTAAACTACTTTATAAATACATTTAAATGTTAACGCAAAAATTAAAAAATAAATATCAGGCGTTTCAAGTGTGTAATGAAAGGCTTCATAGAACATTACTCACATGTTCCAAATCCGCCCTTCTGTTTGGTTCCATCTAGACATGATTAGCAATGAATGGAATAAATTTTTATGTGAAAAAATGTTAGAAAGGCAACTGAGGAATATATTAATATACATTACGCACAGTACTGTTTATGTATTTTAAATTGTATGAAATAATAAAGGGAACACATCTTTACAATCACTTACTTGATCTTCTATTGTGCGATGATCAGTCTCTTGCAACCAAGTACCGAGGATTACAGAATCGTTAGCATGACAAACTGCGCGTAGTAAAGAAGTCGTAGTGTTCCCGGGATTCTCGGTCAACGTAAACTCAGATACTAACATCCTTAGCAAATGCGTGTATGAACCTGGTTTACAATATACAATTTTCACGATTAATGTTTTAGATAATTTTCTTAAATACAAGTTACAGTTACCTTCAAAAGTTTGAGGTGGTAATAATAGTAGAGTTTCGTATAAGCGCAATCGAACCATTGCAGCTGGAGCTTTCAGTTGTTGACCATAATTTTTTAATACAGGCGATAAACTGAAATATCGTGTAATATTAGGACAATGTAAATCTGAAGTAGCTTGGATTTAGAAATAAATATCACATACTTTGTTAACATTGCCAAGGCAGACTCAATCGGTGTTAGAAGTCGTCTCGTAATATCGTCATTTAAAAGTTCTGGGCAATGCAAAAGAAAGCTGTGCATTGCCGATAGTGCTCCGGCTCGACCTTCTAAAGTTACTTGCCACGTGAAAGCATCGCCTCTGGCTTTTTCGCTCTCGAGTTCTTTGTTCGAGCGAGGGAAAGAATTTCTCCATAACAATAACATCCTAGGTAATAAACCTTTCACTACCGCTGTTCCTAAACGTTCAATTTACATTTGAAACAATATTTATAACTGCGTAACTGACAGATATGTATTAATCTTAAATCGTTGTACCTAGAGTCATTATAGCTCCGATCAAAAGCCATCCAGCATGAGTTCTATTTAAGGACAAACGACTGTTTTGACTTGCGCTTCTCAAAAGTTCTTCTGCCGTATTGAAAATAATCTAAAATGCAGGTCATTTTTATTTAATACCATCTTATGAAAGTGTGGAAAAAAACAAATATAAATCGTTAATACTTACTTTTCCTTTCGTGTGGGGAACTCCAAGTGGTGATAAACGAACGCTACCAAGAACTGCGGCTAATGCACTACTATATCCAGCTATTGCTTCCGGTGAACTACGCATATTTTCAATATTCTCAACACATCGATCGATTAGAGGTGTTATCTGACTGGGAACTGCCACACAGATACAACGTAAGCACCAAGACGCTGCAAGTCTAGCTGCCTGACAAGGGTGGACCAAAACAGCCATAACTGTGTCGATCAAGCCTAGACAATTACATAAATTAATGTTATTTCTGAAAACTATTAAATTTCGATTTACATAAGTTAGTGTGGAATACATACTTAAAGATTGATCAGACAATAAATTACAAGCTGTGGTGCCAAGTCCTAAGATCAAATTGCCCATTTCTTGCAGTGCACAAACTAACAAGTGCTGACTAAATAATGTTTCCTGATTGCAATCCTTGGCGTTCTCTGGGCTGAAGTCAATGGAATTCATTTGTTTCAAAATAATGTGTGCTATTTCTTTACACGCAGCGGCTTGAGCTCCTTCACCCAACAGTTTCCCTATGGTACCGTGTAATATAAAGTTAACACATTTCCTAGAATAAACAGCATCAACGTGCGAACTTGCTGCTTTCGGGTTTGTTACAAGATCGAGTACGTGTGCAACCAATGCACCGACGTTGCGTTCAAGCCACGAACCACCTAACATTTGGACAAATACAACGTACGCCTGAAAAATATTGATAGTCGATTAGTTATATATTATTATTTTATGAAATAAACGTCATTTTATATTCTTTCTTCCTTACGTGCGTAACACCAACTCGGACTTCTCTATTCACACTGGAACTCCCCTTTATTATTTCTCCAGTACCTTTCAAAAAGCCCACTCCGCCTCTTAGAAATCCGGACATTAAAATGTTCAGCACCTCGTCGAGTGAGATTTGTTTAGCATTCTTGTTTTGCGTAACTAAATAAAAGTAATAATTTTGTCGATATATGTAATTAATTATTAAATGTGATTATTCGAAATACCTGAAGGATTTTTGCTTTTTGGTGCTGGAAGTTGGGTCATCGCTACAAGAGTACCAAGCAATTTTGCAACAGCGCATCTCACCTCGTAATTCGAACCTTCGAAGGCTCGGAAACAAAGCGTGGCTACACTTTCGATTTCAGTGGTATATAAAAATGGTGCATGGTTTAACATTTCTAATAAACACTATAAATAAAAAACATATGAGAAATACTTTAAGTATACGCGTAAGGGACAAGAATAACGAAATACCTTTGCAGCAGCACACCTTACAGCCATTACTCTATCTGTCAGATAATGTCTAGAAACTTTATAGATTTCTTTATGAACGTTTGTAATCGCAGATCCCATACCAGCACAAACCTAATAATAGAAATACTTAAATAAATCTAATTCTTACAGTCTGTATATAAAAGATTACCTTCTCTAAAGTATGCATGACCTCGATCCTTGTTTGCGATTCTGCAGAACGTAAAGACTTTATTAAAATCTGTACAGTTTCTTCGTATGATCTGCCCATCATCCTTCCTAACTTTTCATACATACATCCAACACAACATATAGCAGCTCTGTAAACAATGAAAACCACATGAATTTCTTTACTTGTGACGAATATTATGCAAAGAATACTTTACTTACAATTTTGTTGGAAGGAAACTTGGAGAGTCATCTTTATTTCTCAAAATATCATTACATTTATTAACAGTATCAAAGAGCAAAAAGGTATCACCAACACTGAACAAGGTAGCAAGACATCTTGCGATAAGTCTTCGCGTAGGAGGACCAGGAGCACCTTGCATGTGTTTAGTTAACTGTTCTACTAGTTTTTGCTGACATCCTTTAATGTCATTCTGAAAATTTATTACGATCGTGAGGCATAATGTTACACAGACTGAATTCATGATTAACATGTATTTCAACAAAGGAAATATATTTTATTTGTTATTAAGCTAACAGTACCTTTTGTGCAGCTATTAAAACCTTGTCCAAAAATCGTAACCATTCAAATATAAAAACAGGTCGTTTGGCCTCTGGGATTTGATTAAGGGCATCCTCATTGAGGGTCAAACTATGACTCAGCTCCATCATCATTTCAAGGAAATTAGATTTCAATGTTCTTCACACAATCGTTCTTTCCCTACAACCAAATTTTAACATCATTAACAAATCAACACACTGATTTATGATTAGAAACTCAAATAGTTTAAAAAGCAGAAGAAATTCATATAGATATATTAAAAGAGAGAATTAGATATTTAAGAATAATATAAACTCAAGTTTACTGTGTAATTAAATACCAAGAAAATCGCTGATATTACAAATATCTGGGTGGTAACATAATTATTCCGTTTCTTTTTTATATGATGTATTTGATGTCCATGTTATTAGCACAACACTGTGTAAATATTTGTATTTATGTACGTTCCATATAAAGATAATAATGCGATATAAAATAAATCACTTTATAAACAGCATGCCATCCAGTATTCAGTACTTTTTAACTACACCCTAGTAGATTGATAGAACAAGATATTTTTCCACGTAATTGACAAATCTTAACTTGATTTCGGTTAGGGTAGATCGGTAATCATCTGGATAGGAAACGTTGGCAACAAATTGTTCAGATTTTCTGCTCCCGATCATTTTACTGCCATAGAATCTTGTGACGTAGATGAGAACCTTGTTCTCAATTGCGAGGAGCTGGTGGATTTTTATCGTGTTTATCATAATTACAATGATCGAATTTTTTAACATTTGTAGTCTTCAGTCAAAGTTTAATCTTAACAGGTTTATAAAACGAAAGTATAGATCGCTACGATTTGTAAATCTTAATAAATGCCGAAAATTAAATATAATCATATCGAAGTATTCAAACAAAACTGTGTTAAAATTATTTAACAGTATTTATCAGAAATTTTATTTGATCGTATAAAAATGCAAAAAAGGAAAAAGAAAAGAAGATCGACATTTCTCTGTTCGACGGGTCGAGTAGTTCTACGCTCTCAATAATAGGTAACGCCACGGTATCTGTAAACTGCAGATTCTTCTTTATACTTTACTTGGCAAGGCAAAAACACCCTTCTGTAAAAATAAATAAAAAATAGCATAAAGCATGAGCCAAATTCTCCTTTTAAAGAATAATAAAGTATGTCCCGTTTCAATCACTGACAAATTAAAAATACGGATGATACGAAAAAACGTTTTAGATAAAATTTTCTTTATTAAACTCGAAACGACGCAAAGAAGACTCAACATAATAAACATGAAGTTCCTTATTGAGCATTCAGGGCTAGCCTCTTTTACTGCGATAAAAGAAAACTTATTAACAATGATAAACTAATTGGCGGAATTCGATTATCTTTGTTATATAAATGCCTTCCAGTATGTAAATGAAACAAATATTTTACGCGTTCACTGCTAATAGTCTATTACGTAGTTGATATCGTTCCCGTAAATTATGAATATAAAAATATTCAAGTGTAAATTAGTTTGTAAGCGCGAATTACAATCGGACGGACTTCCATTATTGCCTGTCAATAAAGATAATGCATAATAAACGCTTGTTACAAATGGTCAGTCATTTCTACAACTAATGATTGCCTGAAACATTTAGAACTCTCCAGTCTCCGGATACGTCGAACTTTGGTCAATTGCGATTTCGAGGCAAGCGACGGAAGAAGCATAAAAACGAAAGAAACAACTCATCAATGTCTGTTCCTTTCCATTCAGTCTTCTTTTAAAAGTGTATCGAAAGATCACTCAACTTTGTGATTTACTCCATGTAATTATCAAGTAATAAGACAGCAGAATTTACGTCAACAGGCTATATTAAAATTCAGTCATTTATGTCAATCGTAACTCTTTACAGCCTTATCTTTTCACCAGAGACGCTCGGTTGACATTAAATGTACAAAAATAATTTCAATCTCTATACATGGAGATTGCAACATTTCGAGTCGCCAAGGGAATCGGAAAACTGGAAAAAATAATATAT